TAAATATGCATCATAAATTACCTAAATATTCATAATAAATTAACTAAATATGCATCATAAATTACCTATATAAAATGTACATTTTTATTTCATATTTTTCGCTGCATATTTAGTTCATTCATGATGCATATTTAGTTCATAACAGATGCATATTTAGTTCATAACAGGTGCATACTTAGTTGATTTTATTGGTGCATATTTAGTTCATAAGGACTGCATGTCTAATTCATATCCCATGCATATTTAGTTCATATTGAATGCATGGTACTGGATGCATATTTACTTCATACATATGATGCATATTAGGGGTCAATGGGTCAACGCCGGAAGTCAATGGTCAACGCCGGAAGTCAACGCCGAAAGTCAACGGTCAACGTCGAAAGTCAACGATTTTTCGCCGGAAGTCAACGGTCAACGCCGAAAGTCAACAGTCAACGATGGAGTCAATTAATAATTATTTTATTATTTAATTAATATATATTTTAAGAAGTGGACTCATTTTAAGGAGTGTACTCATTTTAAGGAGTGTACTCATTGGATCCAATCCCTATATATATATATATATATCTATTAATATATAATAAGGATTAACTTAATTCATTTTTAGAAACTAATTCCCGCCAAAAACATTAATTACAGCCTATAAATAGTAATTTAAAGTAATTTCATAATATCAGTATTAATTAATTATCAGTATTAATTACAATGATGAATCTCCATATTTAACGCCATTAAATCAGCCGGTATAATATCAGTATTAATAGCAGTATTAATACCATAAATTAACGCCATTGGGTGGGTAAGTTTGAGTTGTGATTTGGTACAATAATGAATCTCCATATTTCAGTATTGATTTTTAATTGTGTGTGATCTTTTAATTTTTAATATTTAACATTACTTTTTGTATGGAATGTTTTTAAAAATCATTTTGGCACGCCATTAAATAAGGAATAAAAGTAATTGCACATCTATATATATCTAAAAAGATGATAGAAAAAATTTCAACACGCGTAGGAAAACAAAAATCACAAAATACAAAAAAATATTTTATGGCACCATTCAAAGGTACAGTAAACGCCGTGAGTCGATCCAACAAACCGTTTTTGAAGTTGAGAGTAGTTCTACTGCTTGAAACTCATGACGATCCGGAGCATCCAAACGCTATTCATATCCTGTTTCATGATGAAGAGGTCATTATTTTCAAATGTGTTATCATTAGCATTATTTTCATTGTTTGAATTATTTATTATTTTCGAAACTGATTTTACATTTTTTTCTTTGTATTATTTATTATTTCAAATATGTAGGGTTCATACATGAAAGGAATAGTACGTTCGCAGCATATGAGCATATTTCGAGATCGCCTTAAACAAGGCGAGGTGTATTTTATTCGCAACTACGATGTTGAATATAATAGTGGGAGGAATAATATAATAACTCATTGTTGGAAGATTGTCCTTCGTGGACGGACAGATTTTATCAAATACAATGGGAATTTTCCTCAATACTAGCAATGATCGAGATATGTTTGCCGCCTGGATTTCTTAGGTTTTTATTATATATACATTTGATGATTTAGTCATATTTAATGCGAAATGGATGTGTACTACATTTTATCGTGAATAAATTTATGTTAGTAGACTCTTCCTTCGATTTTGTACTTACATACAGTTCTTTTATTTTTTGTTTGTTTTATTCGTTCTACATGATTTATTTTCATATATCTGTTTTGTTGTTAATTTTTTTATTTGTGTTCTTTCAAATTCTATTATGTTACAATTTCATGTTATTGAATTTATTTTATTTTATAAATTTATTCGATTATATCATTGCATGGTTGAACAATTTTTAATCACCTTTAAATTGTAGATATAAATATAAATATAAATATAAATATATAAATATCTAAAAAAATTATTAAAATATAAATCATAATTCAAAACTAACACTTTGTTCCTAATAACAAAAAACGGAAATTTTAAAATACATAACAATGTAATAATTAAAAAATAACAAATTCTATTAAAAATAATAAAATTTGATTCTTTTTTTATTATTTTATGCGCTTAAAAAATATTAATCTAGATCAATTAACCAATTAATTGGATAATATAATTAAATAATATAATAATACATTTGGGAGATTTATTTCTATAAATTTTGTTTCTATAATCAATTAATCAATTAATGGGTTAGCTTTGAATTAACCGATAAAAATGGTAATGATATTTTTTGTATTTCAGTATAATAATGAGAATTTTTTGGAAGCTACATAAATTCGTTTTTGATTTCCGTACATATATTCGTTTTTTTTTTTAAAAATAATGATAGATTTAGTTAAGATGAACCCAAACCATTAGATTCCATAAAATCCGTGCGAACATATTAAATTTTTAACATGTTTCCGCAATTTATATGACTTTATTTATAAAACATGCTTTTTCTATATGTTCAATTAAAACTAATAGTATATCCTAATACGTCACATATATTTTAATATATTTTAATCTACTTTTAATTTATATGTAAAAATATCCTACGCGTGTCTATACCTCCTCAATGTTAATATGTATAT